GAAAAGAACAGTGAATTGGAAGACAGCAATAAAAATTATCCATTTGAGACCGAGAAAGGAGAATTTAAAGCAATAACAGAGCTTCAGAGAGTTGTGGGACAAGTGTGTGCTCTCTCATGTATGGATAACTGGAGCCTTGAAGAAGAGAGGGAACAAAAACTTATATTTGAAAAATAAAAAACGTACATATTGGTTACAAAAAATAATGCACTATATGTTAACTAACATATTTAAATAAAATCTGAAAAAAAGAAAAAATAATGACCCCAAATTTTACAAATTTGATGAGAATAATAAACTCATAGTCTCCCAAAACTCAATGGACTCCAAGCGTAAGAAACATTAAAAAAAATCACATTAAGGTATACCATAAATAAATTGAACAAAACTATTGATAGAAAATCTTAAAAACAGCTACAACAAAAAGATATCTTATGTACAGGAGATGAGGACTGATTTCTTGTTACAAAAAATGCAAAAGACAGTAGATCAACAGCTTTCAAATTATAAAAGTAAAATAATCCTTTCAACCCAGAATTCTATACCTGGAAAAAATAGTTTTCAAAAATAAACTTGATATATGGAGGTGGGGGAATGGGGTAACTGGGTGATGGACATTAAGGAGGGCATGTGATATAATGAGCACTTGTATTATATAAAATTGAACTCTACCTCTGAAACTAATAATATGCTATATGTTAATTACTTGAATTTAAATTAGAAAAATACAAGACAAAATTAAAAAGAAGCGTGGTCAAAAAAAGAAAAAAAGACAGAAAGAAAGAACTCATCTCCAGTAGAACCTGCACTACAAGAAATGTTTAAGAAAGGCTTTCAGGCAGAACAAAAATGATACCAGATGAAAATAGCTGTTTAAATAACAATATCAATGCAAAGTGGGATTTGTAACATATGCAAAAGTTGAATGTATGATGACAACAACAGCACCAAAGTTGGGAGGGATAGAATTGAATTTGCATACTAGAAGGTAGTCAGAGATAAGTTAAAGATGAATATTATAAATCCTAGGGTAACCACCTAAATAATGAAAAAGTTATAGCTAACGCAGATTAAGTGGGATGACAGAACACATTTAGTTAATCCAAAAGAAGGCAGAAAAAAAAAAATGGGACAATTAGAAAACAAATAGTAAGATGATAGACTTGAATTTAAATATGTTAATTATTATATTAAATTTAAATGGTATAAATACCTAATTAAAAGCAGATGGTAAGATTGCCTTGTAATTTGCCTATTCTTTTAGGTTATATAAATTTTAATATTAGTACTTATTTATACAATGAATAATTACTTTTTTTCTATTCCAAGAGGACACAGTGCTGGGGATACTGCCTCAAACAGCCTGTTTGTAATCTCTCCTCACATGACCCTTACAATCTGGTGTAGAATGCAGACAAGTAAATAAAAAATTAGAACAGAGTGTAATAATTGCTTGGGCAGAGGAGCTTGATTCATTTTTGCATACCTGGAAACAACAATGCTTTAAAAATTGACATAATGACCATAGCTTGTACTGTTTTAATTATAATGATGGATAACTTCCCATACCTGCTACAATATATAATGTTTCTACTTAGCAATTGGCCATTTGTAATTAAGAATGGAGCAGCATCTGTGGGATTTCCTGCCAAACCCACTTCTGTGCATTTATCATTTCCCAATTCTATCCCCCTATTAGGTCAGTGGTTCTCAAGTGGGGCCAATTTTGCTCCCAGGGGACATCTGACAATGTCTGGAAATATTTGGGGTTGTCACAACAGGGGTGGGAGACTATTGGCATTGAGTGAGTAGAGGCTAGGGATGCCGCTAAACATTCTCTATTGAATAGGGCAGCTCCCCTCCCCCCATAACAAAGACACACGGAGCCCCAAAACTCAATACTGCCTCAGTTGAAAAACCCTAAACTTGTGTGAACAATTCGTCCCAGTTTACTCAGGACTTCCCAGGTTTTAGCACTGAAAGACTTGCATCTCAGGAAACTCCCCAGTCTCAGGTACACAGTGAAGATTGATTACCCTACTTCCAACCTACTAATATTAGAAAAGCAGTCTCTATTCAAATAGCTGTTCCTTTTGGTATGAACATCAGTCCTATACTATAATGTAATAAAAATCATAATCAGCATGAACATGAGTTGAATACATTTTGTCCAGTATTATGCCAAGTGTGTTACCTGTATTATCTCTTTTAATCACCTTAACAATTGCATGAGATTACTATTATTACCTCCATTTTACAATTGGTTTACAGAGTTTGGGTGAATTGTTGAACTTTACACAGCTGGTTGTGGTAGAATTAGTTAAAAAACAAGATCTATCTTGCATATAGTGATCATATTCCTGCTTTGCAAGATTGAAAATATTTTCTCTACACTGTACCAACCTCACAGCATAGCTTGAATTTATAATGATGATTGTCACAATTACAAATCAAACAAAATTACATTTAATATAACTATGGCTTTCATTTTCTGAGTTGTTGCTGGTTACAGCTGCACTACATCAGATTTGAGCTGGTATGAAGAGTATAATTTTCTTATAAAAAGTATGGAATTTGAAACCAAAGACATTTGAGTCTAACTTGATATATGATCTGGGTAAATTACTTAATTTCTGAGTTCTGTGGGGGGGAATGTGTAAATGAAATGAGGCAATCTTTCTAAAGTCCCTTGTATAGTACCTGTATGTCAAAGAAATTCCGTAAGTGGTAACTATAATTATCAATGTGAGGAAATTGCTTGATTCAAACGGCATAGATTAGTTTACTCAGGGCATTTTCATTGGGAGAAAGGAAGAGAGACAGACAATATGAATATCATAACAGTTAAGCCTAATATAATGAAAAGACATTGAAGCCAGAAGGGATTTGTGGAAACCGAGCTTATTTACTTAGATACTGTGTGAAAATGTAACATTTATCTTCTATAAAATGAAGGAAATAATGCTCTTGACTGAACATGGTAAAGATTATAATACCATAGAATTTGCATCTCATACAGCTTCCCATTTCTTTAATAAAAGGTAAAACAGTCCTATTTTTTTTTAAAGATTTTATTTATTTATTTGACAGAGACAGACATAGCGAGAGAGGGAACACAAGCAGGGGGAGTGGGAGGGGGAGAAACAGGCTTCCTGCTGAGCAGGGAGCCCGATGCGGGGCTCAATCCCAGGACTCTGGGATCATGACCTGAGCCGAAGGCAGATGCTCAACGACTGAGCCACCCAGGCACCCCTAAAACAGTCCTATTTTTAAAACAGAATTTCCAAAAAACTAGAACAGGCTGAAAATCAAATATTCCATTGCAAAAACTACTTTGAGTGACAAATATTCAGTAACAGAAATGAAGTATTTATTTTGCCTTCATTAAGTAGATAGCAGTTCTATTTTCTGTTATTTGTATGAGGGAAAAGGCATGGCTCCTGATGTAAAGATACATTTAGAGCTGCAATGTAATTAAAATGACTCTAAATTACAATGTACTGAAGGTAACCACTAAATAGATAGGTGTGGGTAAAGTCTGTTTTTGTTTTGTTTAGAGTAACAGTATGGTTAACTTAGGGGAAGAAAAATTAGATGTCTGTAATTCTGTGATGGATAAAATGACACTTGTGAGGAAGGGCTACAAAAAAAGAGGACTGATTGTGGAAGAATGACCATTACTGAGCTGGGTAATTTCCTTGATAAAAGTAAAATTAAACACTCCTTCCTCAAACAAGATTTGTTCACATCCGTGGTGAACAACAGATGGACCAAGTGTACGATATAAAAGCTGGAGGCATGCCATGAGAGGTCAATTCCAAAGCGAACAGAATATTTATTGTTGAGAGTTCAGGGGAGAAAAGGCAGCCAGGAACTAAATTGAGAGTATATTCCTCTGTGTTTGTGAAGATTTACCCATATATTCCTTTACCTTTTTTTTCACATTCTTTCTTGCCCTTGGTTGGATTTCAAGACCATCGGACTCCTTCCTCCTCTTTTTTTTTCCCACACAGGTGACAGAGAGAAGCAATATGGAACCTGCAAATCAAACAGGTGGATTTGAGAAATAAGAAAGTCGTTCTGAAATGACACTGCTTTCTGCTGCTACTGAGGTTTATTTAATTTAACAGACACCAGGTGACACAACGGGATCCAGCACTACAATAATTGTTGAGAATGATGAAGATAATTGTGGATACGTGCGGTCATTTGGATATCATAAAGAGTGGACATATTAATACTGTGAAACTACCAGCAGAAAGTCTTGTAAAATGACATGCAGATACAATGGCAGGGGCAGATACAAATTTTGTGGGGCTTGACGTTTCTATAATTTTGGGGGGCTCTTTATACAAAATTAAGTACGAAGATGAATATTAAAGGGAAAAAAATCACAAATACTGGAACTGTGGAGACTGAGATCCTTTTCATCTCGAATTTCTTTAGACAACTGCCAGAAATTCACCCCCAGAGTGCTTGCTGACTGCAACCTCACATTCCCCTCTGCACCTATGATGCTCTTAAACTCCCAACAACTCCTAGAATACACAGGGGCCCTCGCTAATGAGACCTGGTCATTAAGCTTCACTGGAGTTATCCCTTGCCTACAGAACCTTCCCTCTGTAGCTTATTTTATCTTGCTCGAGAAGTCTAAAATTACCGTGAAACATAAATAACAGAAACTTTCCAACCGATGCTTTTCATTTCATTGTAAGAACTAAAAACCTCACACACCTATCACCTATTTGAACCTCGACCTCACACAGCTGGATGATGTCCAGCTGGCCCTCGGACTAGACACACCACGTTGCTCTCCCAGCGCTGGAGCCCGCGGGGACCGCACTCCTCGTGCGGCTGGGAGCTGGGGGCGGGCTGCACGCGGGAGGGCGAGCCCGGGCCGCGCCTCCTGCTGATTGGCCGGGCCCGGCCCCTAGAGGCGGGCTCTCCCCCCGCGATCGCCCGGCCTGGGGTGGCTATATTGGCACCGTTCCTGCTAGGTTGAGTTGCTTCCTCGCGTTGATCTGGACTTAGGGAGAAGGCGTTTGAGGGCAGTGCGGGCGCAGGAAGCGGAGCGAGGCTGCGGAGAGCGAGCCGGGAGCTGTGGGGCTGCAGTGCGATGAAGCAGCGGCTCAGGGAGCGGAGGCTGGCGGTGTGGCGAGACGGTCCGGCCCGGGGCCGGGACTGCTGCTCCGGAGGCTGCTGAGACGCCGCGGCGGTCGGCGCAGAGCACGGCGGGCGAGAGGGAGGAGAGGCTGCGGAGCGCGGGGAAGCCGGGCAGGGCGGCCGGCGGCTCGGGTTGGCCTCCCGGGTTGGGATCCCCCGGGTGGAACCATGCGGGTGGCCAAGTGGCTGACGGGGCTGCTCTACCAGCTCTCGCTCTTCATCACCAGGTCTTGGGAAATTCACTTCCACCCCAGGCAAGGTAAGGTCACTGCGGGACGCCTCCAGCAGCGAGGTGGGGGCGAGGGGCCCGAGTGGGACAGGCGGACGGTGTGGGGTGCGTGACTCAGCCCCGTTGTGGGGATCCTGGTCCTGCAGGGGCTCGCGGGACTCCGGGATCAGCCAGCCCTAAGCATCCCGAGAGGTTGCGGCTGCGCCGGGTTTCGAGGAATCGCGCGCGCTGGGACCGGTCTCGCTACTGGGACCACGCGGTGGGGGCGCGTGGGGGCAGAGAGGCGCGTGCGCCAGGACGGCACCAGTTGGCGGCTGGGAAGCAAAGAGGGATGGGTTGTTCGGGGCCATGAGTGTCAGGGTCTTTGCTTGGGGAGGTTGGAGCAAGTCGGGGGTGTGGGAAAGCAGAGCACGTGTGTGTGTGTGTGTGTGTGTGTGTGTGCGTGCGCGCACGCGCTCTCGCCAGCTTGTGTGCATTTGTCGTGCCCCCGGGTGTATTGAGACCTGGGGCGTTTGGTTGAAGTTTGGGGTCGTGGAGTTGGAAACGCGTGTGTGTGGGGGGGCTCAGTGGCCATATTTCTGTGGTTGTAGAAGCCCTGGTAAGGACGCTGGTCTCCTACGAAGTGGTGACCCCCGCGCGGGTCAATGAGTTTGGCGAAGTGTTCCCTCAGAGCCACCACTTCAGCCGGAGGAAGCGCAGCTCGGAGGCGCTGGAGCCCACGCCATTCAGGACCCACTACCGAATCAGCGCCTACGGGCAGCTCTTCCAGCTGAACCTGAGCGCGGACGCGGCCTTTTTGGCCGCGGGCTACACGGAGGTGCACCTGGGCGCCGCGGCGCGCAGGGCGGAGGAGCGCAGCGTGGTGCCTCCAGATCTACGCCACTGCTTCTATCGAGGCCAGGTCAATGCTCGCGAGGATCACACAGCGGTCTTCAGCCTCTGTGGAGGACTGGTAAGTGCCCTCGGGCCCCTCCGGCGTTTTTCTTGGGATCCAGTTAAGGGCTGTGTTAATGGAGTTGGTCAGTTGGGTTTTTCCAAGTTGATGGTTGGTGACCCTAGAGGTCAGAGGAGGTTATCAGAGGGATTAGCACCTAGATGAACTCAGGCCGGAGGCCACTCTTTCTTGCAATGGCGGGGGGGGGGGGGGGGGTTGGATGATCCGTAGTCTCTACCTGCTGCAAAACTGACCCCTCTGTGCAAAGCTGGGGAGACTCCTGAAAATGTCAGATCTTGAGGGAGTGAGTCAGGGAGTGGCCCTATGGGGCCTGTGCTACACGTGAAATGTCTTTTCATTCGGGAGGGCAGTTGACTTCACTGACACACCAACTCCTGACCACTTAGGTACTCCCCTGAATTAAATCTCCTTGAATTTAGAAGGAAATGAATATATATAAAATGAAAATCTCAAAAGGAAAAGTTGGTTTTCTTGATAGTATGGGGATGACCATAGAGGCTGAATCTGCCCGTGTTCAAAATGCAGTACATTTGACAGTATCGATAAAGCCCTAGTGCTAGCAAGTAAGAAATGATCATTAGAGTGACAGGAGTAAAAAATGGAGATTTTGTGTAGAGGAAGAAAAAAACTTTATTGTGGAGAGAGGAAATGAAATAAAATAGTGGGTTCTTTGTGTTTTGTTCTTCTCCCTTGAAGGCAGAGGTTCTAACCTTTTTTTCACTCCTTACATAAACTTCTTTAGTCCCGGGAAACTTAGGACATTTTCTCAACGTACTTTAAATGTGTAAAATGTTAATTGGCTTCCATTTTAGTACTAACAGTAATCAAAATGTTACAAATACTACAACTTATGGTTTCATAATACTCTTCATTAATGCATTAAGTGATCTATTGGGGAGGGGTCTATTTACTGTGGTAGTGATAATGAGTATAAACTCTCCAGATAGCTACATCAACTCTGATACAAAGGTATCTTATTGATAACAAAGTTACAATGTCTGTGGTTTTACCTACAATAATAATTAAAGGAAATGTTAAGTATCAGAAGTTAGTGAAAATAGGTCTAACACTTTCCCATCTAAATTTATGAAACCCCAGGTTTTAATAGTTTTGTTAAAATAGATACTTCATTAACTCCCGATTAAAGACCTGTTCAAGAAGAAACAACTAGGAATTTGGTTACTGGATTCTAGCATTCAAATGTAATGCTTCCTCTCAGGTTAATTGATGTAGGATGTCTTCCTGGGTGTGAGTTTTGGTCATTACTAAGTAAATTTCAAGGGTCTCCTTGCTCTTTTTTCATGCTACTTTGAGCTACAGTTACATGGAATGCCTTGAACAATTTCCTTCTTTTCTGCTGTGTTAAATGTAGAAAGCTTGCAACACCAAAATGGCAGAAACACTATTTACACAGCCGCCTATATATCAAAGGAGAGAAAAATATTCTTTTCTAGAACCTTTCAGAATGGTTAGCTCATCTGGAAATTCTAGATTTACTACCACAATTTGTCATGGTTAATGTTTTCTTGATTTAGTATTTCACGGCATGGAAAAACATTCCAGATGGGAAGCATTATTAGTGATGTTTCTGCTCATGTTGATTCATAATGCTGGTGTAGTTCAAATTATTATTCAGTATCCCCTTTTTGAAATCAAGAAACAGTTGGAAATGTTTTTAGGTCTTGACTGGAGTTCATCCTCACCCATTACTGTGCCAGTTTGGATATAGTTGTCTAAGTTATACATTATTAATCTGATGCATGTATGCACTTTGCTTTTGAAAGATTTATTGCCCTTATCACACTTAACATTTTAAAAACTTATTTTATACCTATGTGTTTTAATTTCTTTGTAAGGCTGCATTGAGGACATCAGTCATAGTAGAGATAGAATTAGCTATAGATACATAATAGATACTAGTTATGTATTTATGACTGTGTACCTTATTTCTACCGAATAAATCATTAACTTCCTTTAGAATAATGGTGTCCTCAAATAGCTGAACCCTTGGTAGGTCTCACAGTCCATTTGTCATTATATGCAATTCTTCTTAGTCTTTAGATTTGGATAAAATTGTTGTACCGACAACCTGGACCAGCTGGATTGTTTGCAGATCAACCTTGATACAATGCCTATGAAGTTACTACTGTTAATCTTCTGGCCCTTCTCCTTCTTGCTTCCGGACTGATATTTGACTTTGTGTATGTGACTGTGATCTAGCTTTGACCTCTGTCAGTCCATTAAACATTAAGATTGAAGTTTACTGAAGGATTGTTAGAGCCAGACTTAAAATTTAGAGTTCTTTTCTAGTTTCTTTTTTTGCTCTAAGTTTGCTTTTAATTATAAATGAATGTTGTATTTTCCTGAATATATTGAAATGAGCATGTGATTTCCTCTTTTTTTTTTTTCCTGTTGTGTATTATCCCCTACATTGCTAGATTCAAGCATACATTGACTACTGATGAACACTGACCCCATAGCAGGCCATATTGTTTGTCCTGAGGTCATTGTTTGGGAGGAAGGTAGAGAGCTGATCCTTCAGTTCCTCTAGCTGAATTCTAGGCCTGAGAACTTGTGGCCTCCTTCACTCAGTGAGGCTCCTGGACGTCCCTCCTGGGCTCTCACTGGTGCTGCCTCTCCCTGCAAGGTCTGGCTGCAGCACTTACCTGATCTGTCTGGCGGCTGCACTGTGCAGCCCTTATCAGTCACTTTGCTTCTGCTGCTGTGCCTTCACCACACAAGGTGGCTTAGTGATGCTGTTGGTAAACTTCCAGAGCCCTCTATGGGTCTGAAACCCTCCATGGCATTTGAAAGTCGAGGGGGACTTAGTTCTTCCCTTTACCAAATTCTGTCACACCTCTAACTTTGTGGGAGTGTATATGGGGGGGGAATCCTTTTCAGAGGGTCCCTTCCCTGAATCCCAGTTAGCATGCTGAAGCATTTCTCTTGGCAGTTTCGTTAAACTAACATGTCTTCTGTCTCCAGGATCTTAATCCTCGGTGGAGAAGTTGGCCCATGTACATCTTGTCATGTTTCTTATGTCTCCCGTCCCCTTTTTCTTCCGGGAATCCATGAAGTTCCCCTTTCTAATCTTGTTTAGTTGATCAGTTCCCCTCCCATCTTCCTACTTCAGGTAGCATCTACCCTCTCTTTGGTGGCTACTGAGGAATGTATTTTAGAGGAAGGGAATGAAAACCAAAATGCTTTCAAAATATCTATGTGCAACCATTAAAAAAAAATTGACACATGAATTCCATTTAGTGGAATGCTAGTGTTGCTTTAACCCTCAACATGCAGACTTTAATTTCTATATAGTTATTTTTTTTCCATTCTTAGAAGTCTTGGTATTTTCATATTTCACTAAATCACTGAACCATGACTAGTACTTTTAAGTGTTTTCGGCCAAGAACCAGAAGGGTCTGCCAGAAGTCTTGTTTCATGTATGTATAACTTCTGCTTTTCTGTTTAATTTCTCGTAAGTATAACATAATTCAAACATGTCTGAACAGATTTATTCATTTGTAAAATCTATAGTAGATATGAAAATGGAACTGAATCCCAAAGTTACCTGTAAGTCATAATGGCTAATCAAACTTTTTTTAGTCCACTGATAAACTGTCACAGAACATATAGTTATCAGGTCTTAATACCTCTATATTCAACTTTAAGCTTCGTTTTCATGGTCCTATTCTCGATCTTCTCATAATGTTAGCACTATTGCCAAAGTAGAGGTCAGTATTTTAATGAGCTGAATTTTGGGTGTATATTGTCAGGATGGCATGTATAAATTATACAGAGGCTTTTCCCAACAACCCCTGTGCCTACTAAGCCTCTTCTCATGTTACCATTGGGTTCCCTTCTTCCAAAGGCCCTCAGGGACTAACCCGACTGCCTAGACTGTTAACTTCACTATTTCTTGGTGGGATTTGAAGCAATGCAGTTTTTTTGGTTGAAAGAAACCATTTCCAGATGTCATAAAACCAGACATTGCATCTGGCTTCTACAGTGTTCTCTCTTCTACAGTAACTTGCAGTGGCACTGTGTACTTTTTGGAAGTTTCTCCTAACCATTCTGCAGCATGTCAGGCACTAATGCTCTGATTATTGAGTTGCTTTAGTGACTTCTTGTTCAGTTTCCATAAGGTTATTTCCTATCTGTGTCTTTACTGGTTTTTGTCTATTCTGGGAAAATTTTCTGAACTTCCTATTTGCCCACAACTAACACAGCCCTAGATCATTACATATGCCATTCTGTATTCATAATTTTTTGTGGAAAAAATTCATAAGGACCTCTTAGTTATTCACATGCTCCATCAAGTACTCCAATACAAGGGAGAATTTCTTATGCCTCTTAAAATTCTAGTCTTCGTCTAGGTCTCCAAGAAGCAGATGACAAGATGGGATTGTGTGTGCAAGCATTTTATTTAGGAGAAGTGCCCATGTCAGAGAAAATAGAGTGGTGAAATTTGAAACAGGGAGGATGAGACTGTTGGGTAGAGGCATCCAAGGCTGCTGGGGAGTCTAAGCAAGGTTCAGCAAAGCTTGCCCTGAGCCAAATTGGGCTGGGAGAAGAATCTCCTGCCTAAGGATGAGTATACCTTTAGTATTGTCACACTCCATTACTAAATGGGAGTAGCACTTGAGAGAGAGATGGCTGGGCTGCAAACAATGATGGATTTTAAACCCCAATAGCTGGGGCTCCTAGCCAATTATGCTTAACATTCTCAGGGCCACCATATACTGACACCAGGCACACAAACATTTGTAGTCTGTTTGATGCTGTTGAGAGGAATGTGGAAAGTGCTGTGTGAACTTTGAGGAAGGAGTAAGGGCATTGAGACCTGTGCTAGAAATAGGACTCTCAACTGGACTTTCAGGGATGACTCCATTTGGATATGGAAAGTCAAGGGTTGCTTATGGCCCTGTGCAGCTGGAAAAGCAGGTGGATTGGGAGGGGAGGGTAAGGCAGACCTCACCTTAAGGCTTGGACTCACTGTG